ACAAACGATTACCCTTCCTGGATATTAAGGCCATTCGATCCAACGGAATACTTAAGAGGAAACTAATCAGGACATCATATGCGGGAATAATTCTCAATTCTCAATTCCCATTCTCATCACAACTACAGACTGAACATCGGAATAATGATGAGTATGATCAGAAGTTTAAGACTAACAGACACTGAGTTCTGAAACAAGTTGGAGAAACTGATTCAGATTTGCCTTAGTAACGGGTACTCCAGAGAATGTATAGAAAAAAATAAAAGAGTCATAAGGAGCATATTTAAGCTAGGATTTTATGAAAATAAGTTCCGTAATCAAGAGGACGACAAAAAGTGGATATGCCTACCTGCCTGTGGACTGAACCATAAATTGCGATTGCTGCTAAGAGAGTGGAATATCAATATGATAACAAAAGAAAAGAACACGAGAGTTACGCGGTGCACATGCCGCACAGCGATAAGGGAATCTGCAGTGTCAAGTAAGGCTGATATGCCAAATAAGAATCCAGATTTTAGGGGCTTGTGCAGTGGGGCTGGCGTATATGTGCTATCAAAGGCTTGAGGCAGAGTGTAGAACAACGCCTTGAGTAGCATTGGTACGATGGCAGCGATGGAGTGAAGTCACTGAAACAGGCAGATAAGGGAAGGAACCTACGGAGCAAGAGGGGACTATGATAGGACCCGAAGAGAGAGGATTGCGGATTAAACAGCAGCTTTGGATCAGCAATCCTAGCACAGTGGGAGGGATGAGGAAACCAGCGGGGAGTGTGAATATATTTCAAATAGGTCCAGATAAACAAGTAAGAAATTGTGATATTGATGGGGTGATACGAGGATATAGGTTAGGTGAAAAGCCCAGGTCAGAAGAAGAGATACAACTCTTTAGTACATATTTGGTTAAAGGATCGACTTCATTTGTCTCTTTTGACGAGTTTTAGTGTGGTGCTAAGACTGACAATGCTCATTGACGATGCCGACTACGATGCCGACTACGATGCCGACTACGATGCCTGCGAAACATCTGGGAATGTACCAAGTCCATGGTCCGACTCTGAAAATTATCATGCATACTATGGACTCGGGACAAAATGCGTTCCTCTAGGTCTTTTTGTCAATTTGGCCAAGTTGCAATACCAAGGTCTAACAGCTTTTATCCAACGAAAGTAGACAACGACCATACAAAAGGCATTACCATCTCCTAAGTGTATTAACTAGATTCTGCCTTATCCTTTATCTCCCACATACAATTTCTTTTTATAGACTAATACTATATGCTAATTTACATGGCGCTATTTCCATAACGGCGTCCAATGGCTTACTTCTAGATAGGCTTGTTTGGTCTTTGTCTTATATGTTTTAAAATTATTTCCTCTGTAATTTCGCATAACTTTATTTTGCCTTCTGTTTTCTCGTAGACTATGATTTCACCTTTAGGCTCTGCTAAATCTCCATCCTTGCGAAGCCACACGAGACAGAATCATGATACCGACATTTCAGTCAATGAGATGCTTGAATCTGGGCGGCCCTACCGCGCTAACGGTAAGCGACAGCCGGTGCCTAGACGACCATTTTCGCCTGAAGGGAGTGATCGTGAGGCCAGGACTGCTAGGGATCCATGGGCCTTACGCCTCTGCGCCCTAGAACCCTGTCTCCTCGGCTACCGGTGGCTAACAGCTTTTCCTGTAAACACAAATGGCCAGCAGATATCGTCTGCAAACGCTACAACAGTCTCTCCATCATCATCTACTCAATTGGGGTCCGCTAAAGAGCGGATGGAAATGATGGTTCTCTGGCGCTAATGGAATCGCTCCTTTTTGCTTTTCAGGCTCATTTTTTGCACCTATGCACATGTATATTTGATTGCCTTTGTGCTTGCTTAGTCATTAAGGGCTGCAAATCACTTCACTAAATGCCTGTCTTATTCACGCATAATTAAACTTTGCAGCCTATCCATCCTGTTCAACTTTAACTCAGTCATGCATTGCCTAAATTTGGTGTAAGGCAACCTTGGGGTTGTTTTCAATTCCTGTTGGATTTATTTCCCATAATCTAGTTGCAAGTATTTGGTTGTAATTTTTAATAAATTCAGTCGTGGTGCCTCAATGTTTTTCGCAATCGTCGCTCATTCCTTTTTTCCAATTTGCATAAATGCCATGAATTTTCTTAGTGGATTTTTGCAACAGTATCAAGAAAATTTTTCTGTTCCCGCCTATCCTTAATTTTCTTCCTGATTGGCGCATATCGCCACTTTCGTCCATGTTCAACTGCATTTTACCTGTTCGCTTTCAGCTTTTTATAAAAACTTGTGCATTTTGAGATTTTGCTCTTTTATTTGCCATTAAGGCTTTAGATCTATCCCTATTAGATTGTCTTACTACTTACACTTAAGCATATCCAAGTTATTTTTGTTAATAAATGGATTTCAATAAAAAGGTAATTGAATTTCTTGCTTTTATGCTTTATTTCTGGCCTTAGTTCTTATTTTCTAATATATTGCGAATTATTTGATTGAGTTTTGGTGAATTCATATGGGTTAACAACTTATTCCTATACAGTAAAAATTGCAGGCATCTGGTTTGTGAACTCACGGACATTTATTTATCCGACAATCTATTCATAACGTGGGAAAGGGCTTCTGGATTACCTTAAGTTTTTATCTTTTAGATGGATGTAATGGGGTCGTGACTTTGCGTTTACTTATGGTTCCTGTTCAAACGGTTAGTGTGATGGAAAGCCATGTTGTAAAACGGACTCTTATATCTCATCTTACTCATCTTGCTGATATCCAAAGATATTGGAGTATTCTTCCATCCGAATAGCTTAGTACCCTCTAGAGAGTAAGAGCGGGCTTATTCTATGCGACTAATGATGCCACATTAAATAAAATTATTTAGCAACATTAGGCTAAACATGGTTAAGGGGGCTTCGATTGTCATCATCTTATTGTCTTTTAATGTTCAATTCACTCGAGCCTTCAGGTGCGATGTGGAGAGACTCATGTTTCTTAGATAAACTGTTATTCTCCAGCTCGTCAATTGTTTTCACTCAATGCAATCTGTCATCAAATCCAGAGCTAACAACGGGTTGTCTACATGCCCTTAAACATTCTCCAAATTATCCAAGTAAACCATGGGTAATTCCCCTTTTAGCTTGAGCTTACGATCTACTAATAGAACTGGTTAAGGGTAGGCCTTTCGGAAATGTCTTTTTTTGAAATGCCTTTGACTTTGAAACTCTCAAAGTAACTATGGTTAGTTATAGGCTATGCTTTCTTTTTTTTCTTGCATTTTCAAAACAAACAAAACTTCTTTAACAGGCCTTCTAACCGGATACCTCTCTCACGCTCTGGATCTTATCCTCAGTCGGATCTGCCCTTTCTGTCTATTGCGAAACCCATTTTGAATTGCTTCTTCGTCTCTTTATTCCTTCTGATTCTCCCTCTATATTTTTCTCATTCGCGCATTCAAATTATCCATCATTTCTGGGCTAAATAGGCCTTACGATCGGCAAATCTTCCCTATCCTTCTTGTGAGCATTGCAATTCTCGTTCTGAAGGTCTGGTTTACTTACGAATGAAAAACTTATTTTGGGGAGCCACAGACACACATATTGTATAGACACCTTATTGCGCACATTTTTTTCTTGAGACATCATTTTGTGCTTTTTATTTGATCCGAGTTATCTCGGGCCATCTCTCGACATTCTCTTACGCCTTATCTATCATCAGTCGATAATGCCTGGTTTTGCTGTGATTCCGATCCAGGCCGACTTTCTGTCCAATATGTGTCTTCAAATGTCCATGCGCCACAGTACTTTCGGACCAATGATCTCTCTCTTTCTCTTCTCCCTTCTCATGTCCATAATTGATTCTTCCGAACATAGTCAATCGCACGTTGTTGGCTCGAAATCTGATTCCATTCACCCTTTCTCTTTGTATCCTGAGACTTCGCCTATTTCTTGCTCTGCCTCCATCAGGTATGACTCTCCAGAAGTCGACCTGATCGACAGAGATTACGTTTTTCTTGATCCTGAAGAAATTGTAGCCTCACACTATGATCCCGAATCAGGTCGTCATTTCCCCGTCACTCGGCACCAGATGTTGGCCGATTCAGATCTCGCTGCACCCCCTCATGATTCTCAACTCTTTCCGGCAACTATGCTTGATAAGTTAGCTGCTCACTGCGATGACCCGTTGCCTAGTTACTGGGAATTCATAGATAAAGTATCCATCGCCTTCGTTGAGATGGGCTTTAATTTCACACGCTATCCTTACTCTTCGACTTTTTATGTACGGCTTCTTCGGGCCTTGCGCGTCGACTTTATGTTACTTTCTCTGGGGGTTGGAGTGATCTTCACTATAACACGCTATCTCTTCGCAGCCTGGATTCTGAAAGTAAGCTTGAATGTTATTTTTCGATATGGTCTTACTCTATATTTCTTTCTATCGAAAGGCCTGATTACATTATATATTTACCTTGAGGTTTTGTTTAAAATATGCATTCGACTAAGAAGGATAGCCATCCAAGTTTGCTTTATACTGTAAAAGAACCGATAGTTGACTACATAGATGAGGCCCTCGAAATGTCATTTAATTTCACTATGCCTTACCTCTTTGAATGTCTTATCATTTGGGATGGACTAAAATTTATGTGCCGTCTGAGTTTCATCATCTCGGACTGGATTCTAAACCAACCTGTTTGTCAAAACCAATAATTATAATACTGCTGATTTTGTCCATAGTGACACTGATGTTAAATGACAAATACCAGAGTGCATTATTGGTACCATTACCACCAAGAG